TGCTAGTAAGTGTGCGTAGATACAATGTAAGTTTACCAAACATGGAGATTAACATAACGACCTAATGTACAGAACTTTTATTGTGTTTTGAAGAGAGTCGATTCCTAGGTTTTTGGTAATTGGTCATTGATGTCGTTTGGTGATGCCTTAAATGTAACATTTTCTAATAAAAGACCAAAATACCCTCAATATATATAAATAAATAAATAAATAAATAAAATTCATTTTTATTAACCGTTTTCTAGGGTTTTTTGAATATGGCTATTAAATGTGGCATGGTGTTTCTTTAAATGCGATCAGAACAATTCTTTGTGGGTGTTCAGGCAAAGATATTGAATTATCTATTTGTGTATTTATTTCCATCTTTCACACGTCTTTTTGTTGACTCGGTGTACATGATTCCCATCTTTCATACTTTCTTATAGAAAAATAAAATAAATATATAAATAAATATGTTTTTTTATTTTTCTAGGTTTGTAGCTTTGGCTCCACTTTATTATTGATGTGTGACGGTGGGAGTTATTGTGTATGATATAAATAATCTTGACTTATTCTATAATTCTCAATATTGGGTGGAGGCCTGAGTATTGCATTGTGTTTCGTTCAATCCTGATGGAACTGGAATTCTAGATTCCATTTCATGGTTTTTTGGTTGAGAAATTCTGGTTTTGGTTTCTGAATTTGAAAGATGAAGTCGAAAATATAACCACTATTTTGAAAATCAAACCGATTCAGCCGGTCAAGCCGGTTCAACCAGGAATCGGCTAAGTCACTGGTTCTATAAGTCTCAAAAACCGGATGTGTACTGAACCATTGAAAACTAGCAGACTGATCAAAAAATAGTTAAAACTGGACCGTTTACCACTAATTAATCCTGTTTTTTTTTCTAAAAAAAAAGACTAGGACAGTTTCCGGCTCTTTATAAGCCAACTTTAAAAGGCCACTAGACTTTGCAAGCCAGATTATTTAATTAAGTTTTTTGACCATTAATAAAGCAAAAAAATTGGGTCTAGCATAAAGGAATCAAGGATTTCAATTTCCGTCATATCCATTGGAATCAACATAACTAACTATTAGTTCAACCAGGAATCGGTTGAGTCACTGGTTCTATAAGTCTCAAAAACCGAATGTGTACTGAACCATTGAAAACCAGCAGACTGATCAAAAAATAGTTAAAACTGGACCGTTTACCACTATTTAATCCGGTTTTTTTCTAAAAAAAAGACTAGGACAGTTTCCGGCTCTTTATAAGCGAACTTTAAAAGCCCACTAGACTTTGCAAGCCGGATTATTTCATTGACTTTTTTGACCATTAATAAAGCAAAAAAATTGGGTCTACCATAAAGGAATCAAGGATTTCAATTTCCGTCATATCCATTGGAATCAACATAACTAACTATTAGTTTTTTTGGAACGAATGGGGTCCTTAGGAATTGGAATGATTCAGGTTTATTCCAGTCATAAACAAAAGCAATAAGGCGAGGGGTGAAAAAAACCTAATTGGTTTACCTCAAATTCGACCTTCAAACCGGCAATTACAATTTAATTATTTTTGTTGAAGGGTACATCAACCTTAAGTTCGAACTTCAAATCAATATGTGGTTGCCAAATCCATCAAATAAAAATTCATTCAGATAAATTATACACAACATGAGGAAAAGAAAAAGACCCAAAAGGGATATCTCTTCGATAAGGAAAAAAAACAGGTTTCAGCCTTGCTGCCATTTATCAATAGATGAACAAAATTAGAGTGCCTTGCTGCCATGTATCAATAGATGAACAAAGTTAGAGTATGACAATGTAGAGGTGGCGTAATCTTATAGATTTGGTTTTCTTCAACTAACACAATCTTATAGATTTTGTCACATTTGAGCATGCTCTTACACATGTTAATGGGAATTATGGAATAAAAATATACCTTCTTAAAGCCCAAAAGGCCTTGCTCTCTTTAAGGTATGCTCAGAATCTACAATTTCAAATTTAATCATGAACTCTATGCTTAAAATGAGACATTATCAAGATTCAAGAAACAAATTAATTAAGTTACCTGAAGTGTTAGCAGCAAGAAGAAGTGTTCGTGAAGAAACAGGTTGGTGAGTCAATGATGATGGGTTGACTATTCCTTGTGGTTTCAATTGCTGAAAGAAGAAAATAATAATATTTCATTAATATATAAACAAAAATAATGGTAGCAATTGACTTTTAAAAACTAAAAAACCAATACTTACCATTTGGAAACCCCTGTCTAGCATGAAATTTACAATCTAATTGGTCACAGGAGAAACATTCTTGATAAAGTTCTTGAAACATCAGCCAAATAACGCCATGCTTGTCATCTTTGTATCAGTCACCATACATATTATATCCACAACCACTTATAAGTTATGAAATAAAATAACAAAATTAGTTCCGTATTCATACAAACAAAACAACAAACACCTTGTCTACATAAATGTAAAACCGTTAAATTATCAATTACATCACATAATCACAAGAAAACTTAAAGAAAAATAGATAATAAATGGATTACATGATTCTCTGACTGTCAATGTGGTTGATATTTGCAAAGAACTGCAATTCGTGTGAATATGCAGAAATTGCTTCAACTTTGAGGATCAGACTTACTTGAAACAGTAGGAAGTTGAAATTAAGTCTGAGAAGTCTCTCTTTATCGAGTTTTCTATTCGAATGGTGAAAGCGAGGAAACCATATTTGTCTTTATTTTTGTAAAATTCAGAGAGAAAGAAAAGAGCGCCTGATTAGAAGACCCAATTTTGTCAATTATTTCAGAAGTGCGCTTATTGTGTGCGTTAGAGAGATATACATATTGCATTTGAAATACCTTATCAATGAGAACAAATGGAATTGAAGCCCTAAATTCCCGGAGGAAAAGAGGTCGATAACATCAAACACAGGAAGTCGGAAAGGAAGAATGATGGATTCAAAGATGTTGGAGAAACATATGACATACCGTAATTATAACAAAATAACAGACAACAGGCGATTGGTGGCTGATTTTTGGTGGCGGCAATTGAGCGCAAAATTGGTTGGCAAAAGCAATCGAAATCCTTATTTCATGGGCGGCAAATCGACGACAGTCAAACCAAAGAAGTCGGAGACATTGATCGGAAACGCAATAGGATTAGAAAGAAGACCAATTGTATGAAAATCAAAACAAAAGTGAAACAACCAACAAGATACCGAAATTCCTTCAGGGTACAGGCGCTTGGTTGCAGGAGTTATGTGGTGACAATAGAGCGCAAAAGGTTTTTGGTGAGAGCAATTGAATTTCTATATTCTTGGATGAAGTCGTCGGTAGAATCAAAGTAACAGTCGGAGACGATTCAAGAAGAAAGGAAGATATTGTGAGACGAATGAAGAAGAAAGGGGTGGAGAAATTACAAAGTGATGTGGATGGTTACAAACTGATGTCGATGTTTTTGTGGATTCTGATATTAAGATGTAAACGTAGAAGGACGAAACAGTAATTCTGTCCAAATTGATGTGGTGAAAGTTTGAAACATTGGAAGTTTACTGTTTTAAGATGTGTTGGGTTTTAATATATGTATATAATATCAATTACAATTACTCACTGAATGTATGTTATTTCTTTACCTACAAGTTTACATCACTATTCAACAGACAATAAGCTAATAAACATATTGCCTTTCATGGGGAAACTTGAAGAAAGGCCGATTTACATCTTTGGTGTAAACTTAATTTTGATCCATTTTGAGATTATATGTACGGAAATATGTAGAAAAATCTTATTTTTTTTGGAAAAATTAACAATTTAAACCCAATCTTTTTAATAGAAATACCCAAAAAAAACAACTAATTTCATTATTTTAACCATTTTTAACATATTTAACAAGTCATGAGACCAAATTGTTAACTCTTCCTAAATAATGAGATTTTTTTATAAATGTTTTCAAAATTTGTATACTACGTATAAACGTATTTTTATGAATTTATATGTACTATTTATGTATTTAAATATATTTTATGTAATTAAGTACTTTTTAAAGTTTTTTTATGTAGCTTTTTTTACGTTTTTTTAATTTTTTTTCTTTTACGTTTACGTTTTTATATATTTTAAATCTATAAATGTATTTTTTTATGTATTTATATGAAATTTTTAAGAATTTTTATATAATTTAATGTATTTTGGTATATTTTTGGTATATTTATATATCTTTACATATTTATATGAACTTTTAAGTTTTTTTACGTACTTTTATTTATTTTGGTATATTTTCCACGTATTTATATGAATTTTTTAAATAATGCAGTTGGCAGCAATTAGAGTGTAAAATGTACATAAAATAACTTTTTTTGATCTTTCCTACAATAAAATCCAATTATATACTACAAGAATTGTCCCATATGCCGAAACATCTATGTCGATGACACAAGTCGTCGGAGTTCACTAACTTTGGTTGAGCAACTTTGTTTGACCTGGGTATCTATGCCAACGACTTGTCGATGCGGAAATTTTAAAGTATTTACGTGCATGGTTTTTCAAAACCTATGCTGATGACAGGTCGTCGGAATATTTTGCATAAATCACTACTAGAGAACTGCCCTTTAATGACATGCAAAAAAATGAAGGATAGAGGACACACATTATTGCGTGCCCTAAAATTAGTGTCCAATAAAAAAAATTAAAAACACAGAGGGCACCTGTGCTAAAATGAGTGTCGTGTAGAGATATCGTTTTATATTTTATTTAATGCAACGCACATTTAGCTTGGGGGAAATGAAAATCCCAAAAGTTTGAAAGGCCGCCATTTTAACCTCTACCTTATTTTCACCCTTCTTCTCTCTGTGATCAATACCCAAAAAAAACCCTAACATCGTCACTGCTCCTTTTTCTTGCACAACAATAATCTATGACGCCGATCCTGAAGTTCTCAAAGCGTTCAAAGGATCGGGAATCAAGATCATTATTGGGCTAGGAAACGAATTCCTGAGAGATATGAGCACAAGCCGATCGAGCTATGGATTGGATGAAAAACAATGTTGAACCCGTCGTCCCCGGGACCCGTATTCATGGATATATAGTCGGAAACGAGGTTCTAGGCGGTGGCGATCAGGAACTCTGGGAGGTCCTGCTACCGTCGGTGAAAAACATCCACACTGATCTCGACCTCCTCCACCTAGCCGACGATGAGGTTTCAAGCCCACATTCCGCTGGTGGGTTCGCTAGTTCGTTCCCTCCATTTCTACATAAACACGTATCCATTTCTCACATACATCAGTGATCCCGAACACATCGATATCAATTATGCAATCTTCAAAAATAACGCAGGAATAGAAGACGCGAAAACGAAATTACATTATGATAACATCTTCGAAGCACAAATCGATGTCACTTACACTGCTTTGGAAAAAGCTGGATTTGAGAAGATGGAGGTTATAGTATTGGAAACCGGATGGGCTTCAAATGGTGAAGCGAATGAAGCCGGAGCTATGTTGAGTAATGCGAGAACATATAATCTCAACTTACGTAAAAGACTACTGAAGAAGAAAGGTACACCTTACAGACCAAATTCAGAAAGAGACTCGCCTTTCTGTCCATCTGCAATTTCTGAAATCCCTAATCACCTAATCATATTTGATTAATCTGTCATCTCTTATTGATCGTAATTGTTAATGGACACTCTAATTAATCTCGTCAACAAACTACAGAAAGCATGCACATCCCTAGGCGACTTCGGTGAAGAATCCTCTCTTCCTACTATCTGGGACGCCTTGCATACAATCGTCGTCGTCGGTGGTCAGGTATAAAGATGCAGATATTAATCGCCGATCATAATTTCTTTTCTTTTCAGCATTCTTTCATCCGATCAATGACTTAATTCACTTAATCTTTGATCTTTTTTTCATTTTTCAACATGATGATCTGTATCTGTAATTCTAACCCCTGATAACGGCTGTTCATATCTATTGACACAACTACATTTAACTTCTTGATTTAGATGAAAGTGTAAAACTATTTGTGTAAGCAGTTTTTATTCGTGGAAATGTACTTCACAGTTCACTCTAATCACTTTCCATAAATTGTTTTTAGAGCTCTTGAAAATCATCTGTGTTGGAGAGTGTAGTTGGCAAGGATTTTTTGCCTCGTGGTTCTGGTAATTATTATATCTTCAAAGTTTTCTGATTCAATTTGTTGGATATAAAATATGATTAACATCTATTTGCAGGAATTGTCACTCGGCGTCCTCTTGTTCTACAACTTCATAAGATCGAAGAAGGAAAAGAATAGGCAGAGTTTGCTCACCTTCCACGAAAGTGGTTCACTGATTTTGGTATTACGACTAAAAAGCTTATGATCCTTTTGTAATTCTCAATCTCTCTGCATGATCTTGTTACAAGTTTATATACTTTTTTAGCTTCTGTGAGGAAGTAGATTGCTGATGAAACTGACAGAGTGACAGGTTGTACCAAATAGATTTCATCTGTTCCTATATATCTTATTATCTATTCTCCAAATGGTATGATATAATTATAAACAAAAGATGTTTCATGAACATCAAATTTTAGAAAACATAATAAGTTACTAATCAATCTATTATGTCTGAATTTCTGATCTTTTATAGCTGTGAACTTACCCTCATTGATCTTCCTGGCTTGACAAAAATAGTTGTTGGTAAGTTTACACAATTACACCATTTATAACATTTTGCAATTTTGGTTAACTTCTGTCTTTGATTAGTGATTTATGTAATCTATTTTCACCTATGTGATATATGTAGAGGGGCAATCTAATAGCATTGTGCAAGATATTGAAAACACGGTGAGGTCATACATTGAAAAGGTATATATATTTATTTACAAATGTACCCAAATCTTAGTATATGCTGAAAAGAATTGAAGAATAATATTGTCTTGCAGCCTAACTGCATTATTCTAGCAGTTTCTCCAGCCAACCAAGATCAATAAATTAAAACCTGAAGGCTTCTTGTTGCCATCAGTTCTCTACAACTTTTAAGTTGGAGTGTTTGTGAAAGTCAAAGCGTTTTTTATGTCCGAGAAGGGTATTCTCTACTTAGGGTCTATCGGGTTGTTAGGAGAATATTGTCCTATATTCAAGGAGAAAACTCCTTCCTTTACAAAACCAATCACCTGTATGCATCGAGTGCCATTTCAGGACCACACTGATTTCCACAAACATCAAGTCAGAAAACAGGAAGCATTAGTTTTGCAGTTGAGAGAATGATATCCGTTGTAGTCAATAATATTCACAGTTAATGCTGTGTCTTTAGTGTTGACTGATCCACCATGTTTTTCTGGTCATGGAGTTGGTGATAAGCGTTGTGTAGATCAATCTCTAAGAATTGTTGTGGGTCATGCAACATATCTAACATATCATAATGGCGATGACAGGCCGGATGGGGGATTGGAAACTTATATTTGATCATGACTTTTTAATTGAATCTACATACTTCATATTTGGTTCTGTTGTCAATTACCTTACTTTCTTATTTAAAATATTTAGCTTTTCTCTGTCCCTAAATCCTAAATTCCTAATCGATTACTCAAGTCAAGTTCCCAAATGATGTCGACAAATTGATAGTTCTATGCTTAATTATTAATGATTACTTTTATATGTATTCTTCTTCTTTACATAGTGTTGTATTACAAAGTATGAACTTACTTATTTATTAATTTTTATGATATTAACTTGCTTTTTAGATTTAGGTTATAAACTTGTTTGTGTAAGCACTAAGCAATGTTGGTTGGCTTAGTTTTCTACATCAATATTCTTATTTTTGAACTCTATTGGACACACATTTTTGTATGTTAGAAAATGCTTGTGTTGATACCCATTAATCTCCTTAATAGTGATTGTTTTTGTGGTATTGAAAATGGTGATTGCAGATGATGTCGAATCCGGAATCGATAAGAATGGCGACAGATAGCATGAAATACATGAAAGTTGAGGACTTCAGGCATGCTGGAGAACAGTTGAAGTCAACTCGACCAGATGAGATGGCAGAGATTGGTGAGAAAATGGCCAATGCAACACCTGAGGAGCTAGCTGCTATGCACTCCAGAGTATATGCACATTTAACTTATGAATTGAATGCAGCTCAGATGCTGAAAAAACAGGTAAGCATAAAACGCCTATCGCCTCTCTGTATGCGTTTCTTTTTTTTACTCATGAATTATCCGAACATGTGAGAGAATTTATTTTTATTTAAAAAAAAATCAACTCCTTTAAATTCCAGTCCCTTTGACAGATCCCAATTTCTTTGAAAATATTATGAAAGAACAGTTATTTTAATTCTTGTTATTTGCTTTAGTTTGTGGCTTACCTAAAATTCTTCAGGAAGCTAATAACCGAAATAACAATATGCTACCACCTCCATGGGCAATAGCTGTTATGTTCATCCTAGGATTTAACGAGTTTATGACACTTTTAAGGTTTGTTTGTTTTCTTGTCTTTCTAAGTAACTTGTTAATACTCAAATCCAAAATGCACAATACACATTGTCTTGTTTTGCAGGAATCCATTATGGATGCTTGTTATTTTTGTGGGTTATCTTCTTTTCAAAGCTTTGTGGGTCCAACTAGACAAATCCGGTGAATTTATTTAGCAATGGCATGGTGAGTTCCATTCCATCTAAATATATCGAATCATAAAGTCATATAATAGCAACATACTTCACAATTTGTCCCACTTAGTTCACAATTTATTTATTTATTATTTATTCATTTTCCTGTTTCTTATACCTTTTTTTATGCTTACAGCTTCCAGGAATTCTGTCTTTATCCTTGAAGTTTCTTCCTACAGTCACAAATCTGCTTAGAAAACTAGTCGAAGAGGGGCAAAAGCATGTTGCAACCCAACCACAAGTATTAGGGAGTTTTCAAGGGGTAGTTTCGTCATCTGGATCATCTGGTGTAACCATGGAAAATGGAAATGGAACCGAGTACACTAGTCCCACCACACATGTCAAAGAGCAATATGTTCCACCTATCACTCACATTCATTTATTTGATCACACACTTGTACACATACATGCAAAACTCGTTTATTTACACATGTATATATCATTTTATTGATTTTTTAATATATATGCAAAACTCGTTTATTTATGCAGGATGGAAAGTCGGGCAATGCTTCAAGCGTTTACTTGCCATCCAGGCCAGGTGGACAGCCGCCCATGACACTAAGTTCAACATTTTTACCTGGGTAGACCGGGTGGCAAACCAATTACACGGAGGATTTTGTTTTACTTTTCAAACATTTGTTATAAAGTATTTGTGAACTTGCACAATTGTAACTAAGAAAGCATATTTGTAAACATTTGCAGATGTGCTGACAGAAGAAATAAACACATACATAGCATACTAATGTCATCAATTAATTTTTAATCATATATTGTATCAAGCTACAATAAGAAAAAGATGACATATATTTGTTTTAGTCCCAACCTTTAATGAACTGCCCACCTGCACTTGGAATATTATTTACAAAAAACCCTTCAGGTTTTACAAACCAGTAACAATGTTCAGGATCCGCATTTAAAATTAATTTGTCAGAAATGGCTTTGTTAAACAAATCTAAGCTCTGAAATTTTGAACCCCACCAGAAGAAACCGTAAAAAAGAGTGTGACCACCAACCTTTTCACAGAAAGACCAGGAGTAATTTCCTACATATGGAATGGTATGGTTCCCAAGATCATCATCTCCTAATTTTATGTGAACAATAAGATCTTCACGGAGAGCACTAATAACGCTAACATTCCATTTTGTAGTAAACGGACATGAAAATGCTATCGAAGCAATTGGGTATTTTAAAATGAGAAAGGCAAAAAAATTATGAATTATAGAAGACCTCATGTTTCTGAAGAGTTTTCTCTTTATTTCATGCACACAAGTTCCCTCTATTTATTGTTGAAGATGTAAGCTTGCCTAAATGGAGTAACGGTTCTTGCTAACGAAAGTTACAAGTTGGAAGTTATTATGGCAGTTACATAAGTTTCTTAACATTCGTAGTAGAAAGATGTCATTGCCGTTACATTGAAAGGGTGTGTCGTTTGTATGAAGGGGAGCGATGGTTTCAACCTATAACTACGTACTTACTCCTGATGTAACTTACTATCTATGATGATTATGTGAGTAATAAAGATTTTTTATTTCCTACAAGAATCTCTCTTTCCGTCTTCATGTTTTCAATGTATTTCTAAAACATTTATGTGCATTTGAATCCTTAATTATCAACTAGTGTAGTAACCCGTGGGGAACCACGGGTCACGTTAATTGTTTTTTTGGCACTTATAATAAAGTACATGAACAAGAAACACACTAATAACATTAATTGAAAAGTAAATATTATTTGATATCAAACAAATTCATATATACAACAAAAGATGACAACAACTGTTTTGTATATGTTCGTCTCAAGATCACATAGTTTACTGAATATTTATAGATTAGACTGTTAGTACCTGAAAGTGAACCTCTAACAATCCTAAGTACTAATTTTTAAGTGTATGTTCCGAAGTGAAGAGTGGTCCGAAATCTGTCCGGACCAGGTAAGAAGATGTGAAGACTGAAGACATTCCGAAGCTGTCTCTCATGTCCGGAATGATGCTGATTCGGAATGAAGTTGTTTTGTCTTTTGTGCATTTATTGTATTTGTCTTTGTATTGATGTAACGTTTCATAGGACTTAGTCTATAGTTATATTTGGACAATCAGAATTTCAGAATCATGTCTTTTGTTCGGTCCTATGTAAGCACTTCAGTTAATTCGGTGCAATATTCACTCCTATTTATAGGAGTATTCAATACAAGTCAACAACGGATCTTTTCACACACTTTGTCACTCTCATTAAGTTTATTTCAAACATTCTTCTTGTTCTTCATTTATTAGCTTTACCTTGATCAGTTATTCTCGTTGTTCATTAAATGACGTGATCATTTCCTGAATTCATTATCTAAGACTTGACTGGTCTTTCCAGACTCGACTTGAACATTTATTAGCAAGCAGACATTGATCTTAAGCATTCACTCAAGGTTTGAGTTCTCAAACCTTGTCCTTGCGCATCGGATAGATCTTGTTCTCACAATTGGTATCAGAGCTTGAGTGGTTGTCCTTTGAATCCATAAAGATCAGATTATAGTTGGTTTGAAATTACATTGGTATTTCAACCATTTCTGTGTCAAGGATAAAAGTTATTATATATACCACTTTAGCTTGAAGATATCTTAACTTCAATGGCTGCTTATAATCCTCAGCGAATGATTTCAATGCAAATCGCAAATAGTGTGGGTGGCCCTACTCGTGCCCCATTACTAGTTGTGGAAGAATATGATCACTGGAAAGTTAGAATGGAAAGATTTTTACTTGCCAAAGATAAAGGTGAAGAAATTTGGAGATCCGTCACAAAAGGTCCACATGTTCCCGTAAGAACAATTGTAAGAGATGCAACTGCTCAGCTCATGCGAGAAGATGAAACTCGCCTTGCTCCTCTAACTGCAGATGATATCGAAAAGCTTCATGCTGATCAAGTTGCTTTCTCTAAAATGGTGTTTGGTGTTCCTCCTTCACTCTTCGAGCACATTAAGTTGTGATAATCTGCCAAAGAGATATGGGACACTCTTTAGGACCTAATTGAAGGTTCCGAAAACATGAAAGACAAGCGCCTCACCTCTGTTGTCAACGACTTTGACACCTTCACTACCACTTCTGGTGAATCAGTGGCCTCAGCCTCCAACTGTTACCGAATCGTTGTCAATAACATGACTGCTCATGGGATTGTCCGAAATCCTTTGGAATACAATCTCAAATTCATAAACAGTCTGGGCAAACGATGGGGAAATGTAAAATCTTGTCTCCAAAGCAATGGCTCCTTGAAAAAGTTGAAGCTCTATTAACTTTTTGATGAACTTCAAGGACATGAGTCCAATGTTGCTCAAACCATAAGGGAACTCTCCGGAGGTCCTCTTGCTCTTGTCAGTTCTTTCGAATCAACCATTCCGAACTCATCTACTTCGGATCCCTTCAAACCCATTGTTCCATCTGTTCAATCATCCGCACCCATTTTACCCACACAAATCTATCCTGCTGATGATTCTGAATCCATGGACTCTGAACTCCGTTTTCAACAGGAATTCGCTCTACTCTCAATGAAGTACAAACGTCCTTTCAATCCTTCTTACAAACCATACCAAAACCGATTCAATGCTCCTCACTATAACAATCCTCAACCTTACTCACCTTCGGAACCTAAACCAACTTTCGAAAACCCTCCTGCATACAAACCAAACATCACTAAACCAAACTCTACTCCGGAACCCTCTCAGAATTCCAAATCGGACAAACCAAAAATTGTGTGTCATAAGTGTGGACATGCAAACCATTTTGCTAAAGATTGCCTGGCTGATGCTCCGCAGAAACCAAAAATCAAGGATTTTGCTTACTACGTCCGAAGAGCACAAGAAATGGATGAAATCGAAAAAGCCTTTGTAACAACGGTTTCGCGAGATGTTGAAGGGTATTGGTCATCTAGAGAGGATGATGACATGATAACTGGAAGGAACATGTGTCTGATGGCAAGACAAACGGTTGAATGTGATGAAGGATACTGGTCTTTTGGGTTAGAAGATGAAGACGATGTTGCTGAACCTCACTACTGCTACATGGCCACCAATGATCTACCCGGTCGAAGCATTGTTCAGCAGGTAAAATCTATGATCTCTGATAATAATTTTGATCTGTCTCTTTGTGAACCTTATCTGCCCCAACTCCAAATAGATATGAGCACCATTTATAAAGCCTATGAGTCTGCCATAGAAGCCAGTGAGAAGAAGGACTGTGAACTAAATCGTCTTAGGTTACGTTTTGAGGATAAGAAATTAAAAATCGAGTCTTTAGAGCATGAGCTTGTAATGTTAAACGATGAATGTATCATTTTGAAAGATAAATGTGAAATCACCTATTCTGAACGAAATGTTTTAATTGATGATTACAAACGTCTCAATGCAAAAATAGATGCTTTGGATAATTCTGGAGACATGCTTGAAGCGGACATTCAGATGACTCATAATTTTCGTCATCCTTGGTCTAAAGCACCTGGTCTCGGAAGCGAGTTTCCGAAACCAATTGTTAGTCCCTTGAAGGAATTGAAAATTTTGACATTCATGGGAGAGGTTCCGAATATTAAACATTCGGACACCCCTGTTTCTCCCTTGTCTCCACTTCTTGAGACTACAGACCATTTTGAGTCCCTAATTCCTGAGTTAAAACCAATAGTTGTCAAGTGTCCTGATTCCACGCCTCTTCCGCCTCTGATAAACCTGGACCTGAATCGGACCATGGATTTTCATCACAGTCTTACAAATTGTGTACACTATGTTCCTAAAAGTAATCACGTGAACAATTGTGTCATTGAAGAAATTAATCTGGTGACAACCGAAACTACTGCTTCTAAGTTTGTATGGGCATCCTTAGATGATAAAGTTGAAGTCTCAAGTTGTGTGTCCTCTGATTCTTGCGAATCGGATTCCTTAGTCATCTCAAAAACTAAATTGGTTCCCATTACTCCTGAGTTTAAGAATCCATCCGTAGGACAAACCTCAAAATCCTCGTCTCATCCTAAGAGAAAACCAATGCTGAATAGGAAGGATATTGTAGATCCCAAAGTAGAAGCTCGAAATGCACATAAAAAGGAAGTTAAGACTAGACAAAATTCCAGGTTTCTTGCTAACTCCAAACCAAGTTCATCCCGGAATTCTCATGCATCAACTCATAGTCAAAACTCCTTTGCTCCCACTAAGATCCTCAAAAGACCTTCCAAACCCCTTGGTCATGTTGAACCTAAGAAAGTCATCAGCTCTACTCAGCCTCAATCTCATGTAACTACCAAGACCATCCAAAACACTTCACCAGAACCTCAGACTGTTTCATCTGTTTTTATTGCAAAATCTGATGGCACAATTTTTAAACCAAATCTTTCAAAAACCAATGTGTCATCAAGAAAATCCAGAAACGCAAAGAAAACATCTTTTTCGAAATCTTCAAAGAAAAATTTTGTGTGGAAAGTCAAAACTCCCATTGATGGAACAACAATTCCGGAGGTTACAAATGTTACCAACACTCCGGAAGTCAAAGATCGGAAGCAAATCATTCTGAAACTCAAAGTCATTGAATATGACTACTAGATAGATGAAAAGACATTAGCCTTCTGTCT